TTTTGTTCTTTTGTAGGTTTTGCTACAATAATGATATTCCTTAGACAGCAATAATAAAAGACACTATCTGTGGTTCAAAAATGTGTTGTAATATTTAGTCAAGCATAGAAATTTTTACTAATTTTAATATTATACATTCCCAAATTTAACTAGCAAATTATATATTCATAGGAAGTTACATTTAACATGCTTCATGTATAATTTGGGGAGGATATGTGTCTTTCTGTTGGAAAATCCATAGAAGGCAGGAAAAAAATAACTTCAGTTGGGGGGTGTTCATGGGTGGGATATAGTACTCAGAGATATAAAGCAGGAAACAGAATATTAGAGAATGAGTGTTAAATAGTTTGATGAATAGAAGGTCAGGCCAGAGGAGGGTGTATGGGGGAGGGATAACTAAAATTAAATGTCTTCATAAAAAGAGGAAAAGTCATGTGGAAACCTACCACTATAAAATCTTCTTAAATATAGTCATAGAAATTATAAAAAGACATTAAAATTTACCCTATAACAGGTGTTCATGCCACTACTAGACCACATAGGGATGTTAAGACAAAAGCAAAGTACCAGGAATGGACAATCTCTTTTGAAAATATTGACCAGGGTTTAGATTTATGGCAGGCTTGTCACCCTGGGCCTCTCATAGTGTCCTATGCTATGAGCGAACTGTGCCTCTGAACCATTTTCTGTAGGATGCTGGCACTGAAGCGGGTCACACAGTGGAAAAACAAAGTCGGTTCTAGCATGAAGTGGACCTCAAATCTAATCAGAAATGAATTATTTGTTTATTTTCCCCTGCTCTGGGTAACCGACCAGAAATTCATGTTATTATCTTAAAGCTGAAGACACTGCACATATGAACTGTGGAACAAACGAGGAGAAATCAGGCTAGTACGGACTTTTTTAAATGGCCCCTCAAACTGTGCTTGCCATTACCCCTGCTCTTGGTAACCCACCAGAAATTCATGGTATTACCTTAAAGCTGAAGACACTGCACATATGAATTTTGGAGCAAACAAGGTGAAATCATGCTAGTACTGCCTTCAAATTTTCATCTACTGACTAGCTGTCATAGAGCTGGAAGGTGCTATGCAAGCTAAAGTTAGAAAGTGATGATTGACCTTGCCCATGTGAGAATCCTGTAAGCTACAACACCAACTGTCCAAGAACAGTAGGTTCACAAGGCAACAGTTGGATGGATGGTATGAGAAGAAACAAGGAATTTATTTTTGATTGGATTTGTGGTCCATTTCATAAGGTGTTGTCCAGACTTGACCCTGAGGGCAGGACTGTTTCTCTGCTGTTGTTTTCTTTATGTTTTAATTATTATTTGTGTATGCTCATGTGTGAGTGTTGAGGTGCACATGAAACATGTGCATATGTGGAGGTCAGAGAACAATGTTTTAGGAGTTGGTTCGCTCCTTGCCTTGCTTTGAGACAGTTTCTCTCATTTCTGTTCCATGCATCCTCTAGGTGAACTGACCTGGAGCTTCCAGATGATTCCCCTGTCTCTGCCTCCATCCAGTCATAGGAACTGAGGTTGCAGATGTTCTCTATCACATCCAGCCTTTTACATGGGCTTTAGGAATCAATTTCATGTTGATAGGCTTAGCCGCAAGGTCTTTTCACACTGAGCCATCTTTCCAGTTCTGATCTCTTCATTACAAGTAAAACATTGTCTAACACAGCCTCTACTTTCCCTCCAGTGCATGTTTCTCTAACACTGAGTATCATA